GCTCTGTCACCATACTGGCACGATCTTGGCTCACTGCAACCTCCGTCTCCCAGGTTCAAGCCATTCCCCTGCCTCAGCCTCCCAATTAGCTGGGACTACCAGCACCTGCCACCACGCCTGGCTAATTTTTGTATTTTTTTTAGTAGAAACAGGGTTTCACCATGTTGGCCAGGATGGTCTTGATCTCCTCACCTTGTGGTCCACCCACCTCGGCCTCCCAAAGTGCTGGATTACTGGCATGAGCCACTGCACCCGGCTAGAAAAACATCTTGTTACTGTATTGTGGCCCTTGTTTCTTTCAGGAAAAGTTCTGTAAAAATAATCCCCCCTCCCCCCACTTTTTTTTGAGCTCTAGTCTCGCCCTGTCAATCCAGGCTGGAGTGCAGTGGTGCCATCTCGTCTCACTACAACCTCTGCCCCTGGGTTCAAGTGATTCTCATGCCTCAGCCTCCTGAGTAGCTGGGATTACAGGCCCACACCACCACACCCGGCTAATTTTTGTGTTTTTAGTAGAGATGGGATTTCATCATGTTGGCCAGGTTGTTCTCGAACTCCTGGCCTCAAGTAATCTGCCTGCCTCAGCCTCCCAAAGTGCTGGGATTACAGGCATCAGCTACTGTGCCCAGCCAATAATCTCATTCTTTAAACTTAGATTTTTTTTTCCTACCGTATAACCTTGCATGACTATTACCCTATTAATTGTTGCACACAGAGGTGACTTTTGATAGTTCAAGAATCTCTGTTAAGAAATTCTTCAGTAAGATTGTGGGCCTCATTAATCCTTTGAAATCTTTCCCAATTAAATCAGGTGTTCATTCACCCAATAACGTATTAAGACACTAGAATGCAGGGGCTGGGTCTGTTTCTGTCCTCCTTAGGGTTTGTCCTTTAATGTTAGTCCATCAGGCTGCCCCTGAATGCCTGATGTAATTATCACCCTCCTCCCCGCCGTACTCCTTAGTCCACCCTTACCTTCATTATGTTTCATGAACATCCATCACCACCTGTGATACCATCTACTTACGTGTATATTTGTTCTTTATTTCCCTCCCCTGAATTGGAATGTAAGCTCAATCCCCAATGCCTAGAACACAGCAGCAAAAGATTTTTTACATTTGCTTGAATGAGCGGATTTTCTAAATTTCTAAATTTTTTTCTCCATAGAAATTACTTGCTTGACTAAATTAATTATTTTTCAACTTGTTTTTTAAGTTTAGTGGTACCTGCGCAGGATGTGCAGATTTGTTACGTAGGTGAACGTGCGACGTGGTGGTTTGCTGCACAGATCAACACGTCACCTATGTCTTAAGCCCAGCATCCATTAGCTGTTCTTCCAGAGGCTCTCCCTAAATTTCTAAATGTATCAGACACTTATTTAGCATGTTCTGAATGCCAGACTATGTTGTAAGATCTTTACAGACTTGAGCCCACCTGTGAATGGATGGTTATCCTTGCTTTTCCTCCACAGTTTTATCTATTGTTTTTGTTTTTCATAATCATTCTTTTGAGCAGCAGCAATCCTACATCTTGGCATAATGTTTCTTTTTTTCTGTTCCCAGCCTCCTGTTTTATTCATGTAACTTTTGTCTCCCATCGTGATTCTGTCTTCCCGTGGTTCTGACAGGGTGTGGTTCTAGTTCTCTTGATTCTCCCAGCCCTGGAATGGGCATGTGTGATGTGCTCCTGAAAACAGGAGGAAAGGAAGTCAAATGTGTGAAGGTGGGGAACTCAGGTTTACAGCTAATTGCTGTATTTTTCAAAACATATATATATGTTTTGTATACGTATATATGTATAATGTATATAAGCTGTCTTTACATATATATGCAATGTTTTATATATGTATAATATATAATAGATAAGATGTTTTATATATGCATTATGTGATATATATGTATAAAAAATATATAAGGGGTGTGTGTATGTATGTGTGTGTGTGTGTGTGTGTGTGTGTGTATCTCATGACTGAATGTTTACATTCTATGTAAACATTTCATTGTCTTTTTTGATGCACTAGGAACAGCAAGGCAATACATAGCCCAAGTGACCAGTTCAGAGCTGGAAACCATCACTGAAAACTACGGCTATTACCCGTAAACCTAAGTTCCCCACCTTCATACATTTGACTTCCTTTCCTGCTGTTTTCAGGTGCACATTATACATGCCCATTCCAGGGCTGGAAAATCAGGAGAACTAGAACCATTCCCTCTCAGGACCTCAGGAAGACAATCATTATGGGAGACAATAGTTATATTATTCATATATACATATGTAATTATACATATATACATATACAAAACATCTTATATGTTGTATATATTATTTTTATATAGGTATATATGTATAATTCTAAATATATAGCATGTTTTATCTATGTATAATATATAAGATATTTTATATATGTAACATATATATAATATGTATAATGTACACATTACATATATGCAAAATATAAAATAGTGTCTGTGTTTTCTAGTATCTAAGTATCATGTATGATTTTTCCGGAAAGCAGAATATATATCAATATAAATACAAGTAAAAATTCGAATATTCTAAATCTTCAAAATCTGGATTTCTCAGTATACCTAGAGTGACAGTTGGAAGCTGTTTGTGTTCACGTTTAGGACTCCCTGGTGGTGACAGGGAGCTGGTTGTGCTGGCCTCGGTGCCCTGTCGTCTTCTTGCCTGGAAGAAAATCTGGGAGGGGACCTTGAGTTGCGCTGGCAGGAGCCTGGAGCCAGCAGAATGAGATGAGCCCTCCGGTGCGTGCTGGGAGCGGGCAGGTGGCACAGGTTCTTTTTAACATTCCTTGGTTGACTGAGAGTTGACCAGTAGGCAAGTTCTGTTTCTGCCCCACCCTGGCTGGCACTTTCTTTGGAAGACCCAAGTACCTGTCTGGTTGCAGCTCTTCTGAAAACGTGTCTGGATTGGCATCATGGGGATGTGGCGTGCTGGGGGTGGGCAGGGCGTTCTAGCTGTTTAATTTCTGGGAATTTCTGGGTTGCTCCAAGGCTACTTTGATTCTGGCCTCAGTTTCTGTTTCTTAACTTTCTTCCATGGCGTTGATGACTTAAAGGGACTACATATTCCTTCACCGTTGAATGTCCTTGTGCCTTCGTTAACACCTCGTTATTCTGAAGTACTTCTATCCTGCTTCCTGGGTGGCCCCAGGCCTCTGCCAGCCCTGTGGGGCTCATGTGGCTTGGTTGGCCACCTTGCCATGAGGTGGGGCCTCCAGGACTGTCTCCTCTCCTGGTGGATGTCTGAGTCCAGGAAGTGGCTGGGGACAGTGGCTTTTCCTTATAAGAGATGGGTGGGTCCCTGCCTTGGCCTTGAGCACTTTCTTAGGACTGGCTTGACTAACTCTTGTGGTTCATGTGGCAGAAATGCTACTGCCGAAGTTGTAATTTTTCTTTAGAAAAATGAAACATGCCGTTTGTCACGGCGTATGAAATCCATTGGATTGGTACTTCTGCGTCTCTCAGTGTGTCATTCTCCTTGCAATAACAGACCGTTTGTTGCCATGTAGGCAGCCAGTCAGTATTTAAAAATAGCCTCTCCAATGAAAATGATCCACACACATGATTGCAGAAGATTGTTTTGTGTGTACACATGCACACACTAGTGTGTGTGTCTGAAGGCTAAACACTTTTCACGTTATTTACATCCTTGCTTTTTTTAAAAACCCTCTTGATGTTTTTATTTTACTTAAAAGAGGACTGTAATCCAAATATCCAGAAACTACCCACTAGAGTGAATGAATAAATATGGAGTGGAGCTCCGCAGTCAGATGGTTTTGTTATTGCTTGAGTTTGTAAAGCTTGTCAAGCTTTGGTCAACAGAAGGAGCTTAATGTGATGTGGTTAATCCTGAACCAATCGCTTAGGATGAAGAGCACTGAGTAGATATTAGAAATCCATACAAATTCAGCAATCTGGCAGTACCAGAGTCAACTTACATACATGCTACAACATGTCTGTAGCACTCATTGCTGTTTTGAGAATTTTAAAGAAGATAGGATGTTGACCAAACAAACAAACAAACAAAAAACAATTTTATTTAAATCAGAATGCATTTGTTCTGCCTAGAGATCAAACAAATGCTATATATCCTGGCTGAAAGGGAATATTGTCCAAGGAGATTTTCTAAATATTCCTGTGATGATGCGTTCCTGTCTTTGAACAGATGTATCGACTATTTATATAACAAATATGAATGTATATAATATTTAAAGTACTCAAATTAACACTTAAATGGAATAACTATTATAAAGCTTCGAGATTATCATATGATTCAATATGAAACATTAATACCCTACATAATTTCTAAAACTTACAGAAAGTTTCTTAATTGTTAATGATTTATATGAAATGGAGAAATAATGCAGAGACGTGAACTATAAGTTTATAGTTTCTGTGACTCCTGAAAGATGGTCCGTATCTTTTAGGAACATCTTATAGCAATTGTCAAAATAATTGCTTCTTTTAGAAATATATAGGTGACATCGGGGCTCTTGTGGCTCATGCCTGTAATCCCAGCACTTTGGGAGGCCATGACAGATGGATTGCAAGACCAACGTGGGCAACATGACAAAACCCTGTATGTACAAAAAATGCAAAAATTAGGTGGCTGGTGGTGCACGCCTCCCAGCTACTTAGGAGGCTGAGGTGAGAGGATCACTTGAGCCTGGGATGTGGAGACTGCAGTGAGCTTTAACCATGCCACTGCACTCCTGCCTCGGTGACAGAGTGAGATCATGCCTCAAAACAAAAAAAAAATGTGTGCGCGTGCGCACACACACACCCCCCCCCCACACATAGAGAAATATATAGCTGACGTAAAGACAATGAAAAAAGATTTTCGCAATGTATTTTTTATTGTCCAATTCAGAATCTTTTTTGCTGAAATTATACTGAGATTGTATTGTCAGTTGGAGAAATTTGTGTGGAAAATCACTTACTGCTGATAACTAAATCACTGAATTCCTCTCCCTCCCTCAGGTATTCACTTACAAGCAGAGCACAATTACCCACCAGAAGGTGACTGTCATGCACCCCATGAACGAGGCAGGTGTGGATGACATGGCGTCCTTGACAGAGCTCCATGGCGGCTCCATCATGTATAACTTATTCCAGCGGTATAAGAGAAACCAAATATATGTAAGTTCCACTTGTAATTCCTTCAGAAAGACCCTCACATTTGAGTGAATGCCTGTTTTTGTTTTCAGAGAGTATTTCCTGCCTTTAGAGAAATCTTGTTAATCTCAGTAAAACTATGTTTTTAAGGGATTTGCCAAATTCGAAACTTGGGTGAATAAATCATGTTTTCCTAGAGTTTATCGCCTAGATTTTACTAGTGGGCATTTACTTTCTGTTGAAGGGCCTTCTGCACGTGGAGGTGGTTTGACCATGCTTCTTGTGAATACACTGTTCAGTTCTAAGTGTTCTGCTAAGGAAAGATGTCATGGAGTTGTTGGGCTGCCTGAGGGAAAATGTTGACTTGTAGACATGAGTACTTGCGCATAAGCTGCCTTTTCTGGACTTTTCTCTTTCTGTGGATTTTCAGTTATTTTTCTGGCTCTGGGAGCCCACCCTAGAGGGACACTAGCATTCGAGGGAACCCATCTTTCTAAGTTGTGGGATTCCCGTTTGCTGTTTTGAATGGAGAAATACAGAAAAAGTGGTCATGCACATTTTTCTCTCAACTTCTATGAAATGTGACTATACCTCTATTATAAAGTGATATTTATTTATTTATTTATTTATTTTTTTGAGACGGAGTTTCGCTCTCGTTACCCAGGCTGGAGTGCAATGGCGCGATCTCGGCTCACCGCAGCCTCCGCCTCCTCGGTTCAGGCAATTCTCCTGCCTCAGCCTCCTGAGTAGCTGGGATTACAGGCACGCGCCACCATGCCCAGCTGATTTTTTGTAGTTTTAGTAGAGACAGGGTTTCACCATGTTGACCAGGATGGTCTCAATCTCTTGACCTCATGATCCACCCGCCTCGGCCTCCCAAAGTGCTGGGATTACAGGCATGAGCCACCGCGCCTGGCCTTAAAGTGATATTTAAAAACCACTTCTGTAATAAAATTTTGACATTAAAGTACAGATACTTGGCTGGATGCAGTGGCTTATGCCTGTAATCCCAGCACTTTGGGAGGTCAAGGTGGGCAAATCACCTGAGGTCAGGACTTCGAGTCCAGCCTGACCAACATGGTGAAACCCCGTCTCTACTAAAAATACAAAAATTAGCCGGGCGTGGTGGTGCACCTGTAATCACAGCTACTCAGGATGCTGAAACAGGAGAATTGCTTGTACCCAGGAGGCAGAGGTGGCAGTGAGCCGAGATCGCACCACTGCACTCCAGCCTGGGTGACAGAGAGAGACTCTGCCTCAAAAAGAAAAAAAAAAAGAAAAAGAAAGCATAGATACTCTATGATCTGTCAAGATCAGTTGACCTGTGGATTTTCTCCACTTTTCCCTCTGTTTGCAAGTCTTTATAGGGAACTAAAGGTAACTGGCTATATATGTTTATTTCTCTTGTCCAGCTCAAATTTATGTAATTTTTAAGCCAAAATCATAATACTTTAAAAACTCTTGATCTTTTAGTAATTTTTATTCTTTAGGAGTTACATTTCTCTTTGCCAATATGTTTGTGATTATGATTAATAATAAATCAGCCTTGGCCGGGTTCGGTGGCTCACGCCTGTAATACCAGCACTCTGGGAGGCTGAGGCGGGCGGATCATCTGGTCAGGAGTTTGAGACCAGCCTGACCAACATGTTGAAACCCTATCTCTGCTGTATACAAAACTTAGCCGGGCGTGATTGCACACGCCCGTAATTCCAGCTACTCAGGAGGCTGAGACAGGAGAATCGCGTGAACCCAGGAGGCAGAGGTTCCAGTGGGCTGAGATCATGCCACTGCACTCCAGCCTGGGTGACAGAGTGAGACTCTGTCCCCCCCCCCAAAAAAAAAAAATTCAGTCTTAAAATGGATAGTAGGTGCTGAGACTCACGGCATACTTAATATTCAGGTTCTTCCAATTTATCTCCCCTTAGACTGGGAAAGAAGAGCTGGGAAAGAGAAAGAATTAGATATTTATGGGTTTAAATTGCTTAATCTTCCTCAGTTTAAAAAAAAAAAGATCATATTTGCCTTTTATTTTTACACTGTGAAAGTGTCATTTTTGTCAGATTGACCTAATGTTTGCCAAATGTTTTCAAACAGCCCTGTCCAGAGAAATTCAGTCATGCTGCAGTCCTCTGACTTGCTGAGCTAGCTTGTCCTCAGTCTTTGATTAAAATATTTTCCATATGTGCAGAAAAGGTAATGTTTATACATGTTTGTGTGAAAATGGCAATGCATTCTGCGTTTTGCGTGAGCTGGCATAATGTGCATTTATTTTTCTGTTTCCGCCTCAGAAATCTCCTTGTGGTGCTGCCTCTTTCCCATAGAATACTCACTGCGTAGGTGTCTACATGACCACTGCACTATGCCTGTGTTTTTATTATTAAATATTTGACACTGTCATGTAACTGTTTGCGTAGCAGTTTCTTTGCTAGGCTTGTCAAGGATTTATTTTGTCTTCCTTGAGCCAAGGACACTGCCAGTCACCTGGTGGTTGTGCAATAAATGTTTATAAAATAAATGCCATTCTTAATACAAATAGTCTTGTAGTTGATAAAATGTGAACCTGGATTTTAAAATTTGTTATTTGTATGTCTCTTGTAGGTGCAGATAGGTTGAATATACGTAATCCCCAAACCCCAAATCCAAAATCCTCCAAAATCCAAGACATTTTGCATGCTGTTATGATGTTGAAAAGAAATGCTCATTGGGGAGGATTGTGAATTTTGAATTTGGGTTGATTAATGAGTACACATTATACAAATATTCCAAAATAAAAAGAACTGAAATCCACAACACTGCCTGGCGCAGTGGCCCAAGCCTATAATCTCAGCATTTGGGAGGCCGAGACGGGCAGATCATGAGGTCAGGAGTTTGAGATCAGCCCCTGGCCAACATGGTGAAACCCGTCTCTACTAAAAATACAAAATTTAGCCGGGCATGGTGGCATGCACCTGTAATCACAGCTACTAGGGAGGCTGAGGCAGGAGAATTGCTTGAACCTGGGAGGCGGAGGTTGCAGTGAGCCAAGATCATGGCCGTTGCACTCCAGCCTGGGTGACAGAGCAAGACTCCATCTCAGAAAAAATCCACATTTTTTTGTCCCAGGCATTTTACATTAGGATGCTCAACCTGTGTTTTCAAACTCATACTTTTCTGTCATTAGAGAAAAGATACAAGTTCTTTTTTTTGTAATGGTGTCTTGCTGTGTTGCCCAAGCTGGACTCAAACTCCTGAGCTAAAGAATCCTCCTGCCTTAGCCTCCTGAGTACCTGGGATTACAGGCACGTGCCAGCATGCCCACCTAGACACAGGTTCTTACTGTACATTTTCAGTAGTCAAGAATAAGTAAGTCAACTAGAAGGAAAAAAACTACCCACTGGGTTTAAAGGCAGGCCCTTTTAAAACGTTTTTTTATTTTTTTTTCTTTCCCTCTTTTCATGATAATGATGTTAAATCTGATAAAGTGCCCAATAAATACTGTGAATAAGATCTTGGTCTTGGAATAAGGTCCTTTTCTTCCTTAGGGGAAACCCGCAGGACTTTATGCATCCAATTTGCAGTTCAGTTCAGTTAATTAGGCCATTATAGACCTTCCATTTGAGGCTTGCAAAATTGTATTATTATTCATAAAGCAGCCACCATGGTTTTTTAAATTATCATTGAAGCCGTTTACCAGAGATGACAGCATCTGTTGGATGTCTCTCGCATGGAGCCAAGACCGCCACCTGTCAGAACAGCCACCGCTTCTCCACGTTTGATCCTGGCTTGGAGCAATGCCTGTCTATACCTTTAAAAGAGAAAAAAAAGCTGGGCGTGGTGGCTCACACCTGTAATCCAAGCACTTTGGAGGCCAAGGGTGGATCACCTGAGGCCGGCTGTTCAAGACCGGCCTGACCAACATGGTGAAACCCCATCTTAAAAAAAAAAAAAGAGAAAGACAAATAAAATTAATTGAATTTTTCCCGAGATGTTGTATTAGTTTTCTGTTGCTGCATAGCCAATTATCATAAGTGTACTTAAAAGAAAAAAGCTACTCTCTTACAATTCTGTACGTCAAAAGTCCCATAGGTCTCACCAGTGGAAATCAAGGTGTCAGCAGAGCTGTGTCTGTTTCCAGAGGCTCTAGGGGGAGGATCAATTTCCTGCTCATTGCAGCTGTTGGCTGAATTCAGTTACTTGCAGTTGTAGGACTGAGATCCTTGTTTTCTTGCTGACTGTCACCTCAGGGCTGTTCCCAGCTTCTAGAGGCCACGCACCTTCCCTGGTCCCCTGATCTGTGGCTCCCTTTGTTCATCTTCATTGCCAGTAACCACGCATTGCATCCCTCCCGTGGCTTCAAATCTTTCCTCCTTCTCCTCTACTCTCTTCTCTCTCTCTGACTGCAGCCAAGAAAGGCTGTCCGCTTTTAAGGCCTCACGTGATTAGATTGGGGCACGCTGGATGATCTCCCCATCTCAGGTTTCATAACCTTAGTCACCTGTGCAGAGCACCTTTGCCATGTGACATTACCTAGTACAGGCCCTGGGAGGAGTGTGGATGGATGTCTTCGCAGAAGGAGCCATTATTCTGCTCACCGTGGGTGCCCTCCTTTTTTTTTTTTGGAGACAGGGCCTCACTCTGTCACCTGGGCTGGCATTTCACATTAGGATGCTCAACCTATGTTTTCAAACTCATACTTTTCTGTCATTAGAGAAAAGATACAAGTTCTTTTTTTTGTAATGATGTCTTGCTATGGTGAATGTAGTGACATGATTGCTGTTCACTGCAGCCTCTAACTCCTGAGTTCAAGTGATCCCCCCGCCTGAGTGTATATACAGGACTACAGTATATAGGACTGTAGGTGTGAGCCACTGCACTTGGTTAATTTTTTTTTTAAGTTTTTTGTTCTAAATTTAAAAAAATTGCTAGGTTGCGCGGGCTGGTCTTGAGCTCCTGGGCTCAAGTGATCCTGGCGCCTGAGCCTTCCAAAGTGTTGGGATGACAGGCCTGAACCTCCGCATCCAGCCAGGTACTCCCCTTAAGTCTTA